TAGCAGTTATGCTGTATACCTGAATGAAATATAGTCCTTGGTGAAAAAATTTATTTGTGGCCTGTTGTTCAAGGACATGTGTACATACGAGTATGTATGCATGTATATATGGATATGTAGACATGGGAAAATTTGCGTAAACAAAGAATAGAGACCGGTTCGCATACAACTTTGGCGTTGCGTTGGCGTCGAATTTCAAAGCAGCCGTCCACATATCCAAAATTTGGCAACGCTAAGGCCAACACAAAGCAGAAAGATCGCTGCGTCGGTCGCCAGCTGTTGCAAATAAATAAAATTAAATGAAATGTTTTTTCCTTTTAATCAAATGAAGGCAAGAAATATATTTTTCATGCTATTATTGATACGAAATATTAATTTATTTCTCGTTAATATGTTAATTTAGTGGCCAAAGTAGTCTCTGCCAAGCTTCATTGTAGAACGCATACTTTTAACGTGCGTTCTGTCAAACCAACGCCAACTACAAAGTCAACGCGAAAGTTCTATGTGGACCAGCCTTAATTATCAAATAGTAGTTTGTATTATCCTACATATATATATATGTATGGGGCTAAACCAGGAATATTCATTTGAAAATGCTGATGTCCTACTCATTTATGAAATGAAAGACAAAATAATGATTTTTATAAATATTATGTTCTCATTTATACATATGTAACATAGTTACTTAGTCAAATTACTTAGTAATTACTTGTATGTAAGAATACAACAACAAATTATTTATCAGAAGCATTGCCCCTTGCATATTGAAAAAAAGTAATAAAAGCTCTCAAAAAAGCAAAATCGCTACAGCGAAAAGTGTTTGAAAACCCGCATAAATTCAAATCCGCATAAAAAAGAACCGCATAAAAAGAGACCTAAGTGTAAGTTGAAATTTTATAAGAAATTATTGAACATTAAAAACATTATACCTACATAGATATGTATGCACATATGTGCCTACCTAGTAGATAAAACTGGTCCAAATAGCACGAATCTATTCTTCTGTGCATGAGAATATATACAAACATATGTGTATATACATATGTATGTATATACATATCTGCATGCCTGCATACAATCCTTTACTCGAAATTCTTAGTTGCTGCAATTTTTATCCCATACATTTTTGCCGACCAAACAACGCGTTTGCCTGTCTAATCTGCTTGCCTCATTTGCCTCGCTCGTTTACTCTCCTCGCTCGTCTGCTGCTGCAAATGAGTGCCTCGCTCGCAACGACGCCCTCGCGAGGGCAGAGCTAATGAGGCCCTCGTTTGCTTGCCGCTCTACTCTTGCGCTGCCCTCGTTTGCTTACTCGCACGCTGGCTGCTCAGCGCGTGCGCTCATACTTAACGAGTGCTCATTTGCAAACAGCCTCGTGGGTTGCGCTAGCTCAGAGCAAACTAACGAGCGAGCGAGGGGCTAAAATGAGGCAAATCCGAACCCTGATCGTAACTATCAGTGAAGTGAACGGCTTCCAAATGCGCATTAAGTCAATTCAAGAACCAGTTGGATAACAAAGAAGGATCATACCACAACATTACCGGCACCCTGACTCTAATTAAATAAGTACCAAATAAGTAAAGACATGTCGTCTACCCGATATTACTTACAGTGGTCCACGAAATAATAGGAATGCGATATTTTAACACCTATTACTACACTTTTCGAAATTTAAAAAGTTAAATACGGCATTAATTGTAATTTTTTCCTGTAAATTTGTTGGGGAAAGAAAAAACAACAAAAAAGCGAAAGTAATGCCGTAGTTAACTTATACTATTTCGAAAAA